GCGGGCCCCGTTTGTCGCCGCCATTGCTGCTGAGGGGATGGAGATGCTCTGCGCTGTTCTGGCCGTGTCTTGCACAGATGATCATCGTGGGCCGCCCTAAGCCGTTCTCGGGCTGGCCCAAAGATGAGCGTTTGAATAAATGATTTCAATTTATTCTTTATTATTTGAAATTTGAAATGGTTTTGAAAAATGTTTGGGTACTCAAATTTGCTCCAAATTTGTTGAAACAAATTTTGCTAGGTTTCTTATCAGCAGATCTACTTGGGAAAATTATTGCATGTCATTTTAAAGATACTTTCTTTGTAGAATTTTATTTAGTCATGAATATCACGATAACTTGAAAAATATGTAGAAAAATATACAGGGCTTGGAAAATTTTGATTTCAAGTTTGTTAATCTTCTTATGTCATGTACTTCCTAAAAAAATAAGTTTCATACATGTCTCTTTGTGGGAAAATTTTGAAGTGTAGTTCAAGTGCCTTTAATGGCTAATTTTTGTTATTTTTGTAAAGAGCAAACTTTGTATAAAACATACATGTGATAAATTTTATACAGTTGTTGTATGCTATGAAGAACATAGGAAAAATACTAATTCTATTGTTTGACACTTTTCACAGTACAAAGTATTTTCATGTTCATGATCATGCCATAGCTTGTCATTTTTGTGTAGACTATTTTACTTATCCAAATGCCATGAAAATTTTATGGTAGTCTACTTAGAGTATTACTATGCTACTCTAATTTTCTTAGATTTTTATAAGCACCAGAAATATAGGTTGCTGTTGTAGCCCTAGTTTCAAATGAAATAAAATAATCCTCTTTAATGCAAGTTAGTTAATAATGTTAGCTTTGGTGTATCTTTGAAGCATTTGATAAGATGTGTTGACTTAACCTATTAGTAGTAGAAGAGAATGCAGTAGATGACATGTGTTTGTGGCATATTTTCTTGGATGATGTGACTACCTTGCATTCGAACATATCCATTGTATTCATCTCATCCGATGCACCGATTGCATAGGCACTTACACGTATTGCATCATACGGGATCGCATAAACCGAGAACCCAGTCGTCATTCCCGAGGAGCGAGGAGCGATTCGAGTGCGGCGCAGAAAATGTGAAGCCGACGAGGAGGACGTTGAGGAACTTCCGGAGTGCCCCGATCACCGTCCAAAGCTCCTTCGAGAGAGGCAAGCCCCGAGCATCTTTCTCCGGTTTGCAATGATTTCATTAAATGCTTTACGTTAAATTGATGCATTACGTTTAGGAGTTGTTTGCAACCGTTCTTTGCATTATACCTTGTTTACCTTTGTTATACTATATCCTTGTTACCACGGTATCCATGATCGAGTCAATGCTTAGTTGGCTTAGATCGGTAGAAGTCGGGTGATTTCTGTCACTGCGAGCTATAGGTGGTTACTGGATCGCTTGGATGACTATGAAGTCATGATATAACTAAGTGTTAAATGAAGTTGAGACCGGACGGAGACTTGCAAAGTTTTGGACTGTAGTGTTTCCGTCTGTGTCGATTAAGGACCGACCGTTGTTGGGCCTCGAGTCATGTTGAACGCATGCCTTACATTTAGCTGGCCGGATAAAGTACCTTCCGACCCATGAAATTTGTGGGAGATTTTTCGGGCCGAGTAGATTGCCATGAGCGCACTATATGCGAGCGGTGTGGTAGGACACGAGGCGGGATGATAAGACCAAAGTGCAGTCGGTCGGCCCCCGGGTACATGTGGTTCCTAGCAAACTCGAGATACCTGGAAAGTTGACTCGGTGATCAATATCTCACTTTAGCGGGTGAGTGAGGTTTGTGTAAGGAATAAATCACCACCGGTGGTTAGGAATCGATTGAATCGCCATCGCTCTGGATAGTGAGCACTTGACTTGAGTGACTTCATCGTAGTAAATGTTATGGAACACTTGGACAGTTATAGTGAATATGACAAGTATGGAAGTTGTTTAATGATCGGTGGTTATCATTATCGCTTAATCATATGTGTGCTCTAGTATAGGTGCAAATCTAGTCGACGGAGTTAATAATAATTAACTTGACAATAATGCTTTTAGAAGGGTTCTTGAAATGCTAAAATGCTTCTTTTGCAAATGAGTCGACTATCCTACTATAAAGCCTTCATGATACTTGGTGTCATTTATTTTCGGTTATGTCGGGTAAGTCTAGGTGAGTACCTTCTCGTACTCGGGGTTTTATTCCACTTGTTGCGAGATGGGGCGGATGTATTACGGCTATTGTATCAAGCGCCTTTATCCTGCGATGGTGATGCTTAGGACCATGGGCATGGTCATTCCTTACGTCTCGTCTAATGCTTTTGTTGGAGATGATCATTATTTGGCACTATATTTGAACTCCAGCGTGAGTGTGTGTGGTTTGAACAAATGGCTTCCGCTACTTTTTATTGAACTGGTTTTGTAATAACTATGTTTAAACTCTGATGTATCTGAGATTGCGAACTTTTATGTAATATGTGATGGTGATCGCTAAACTTATTACGATCTTGGCTGGAATGGAAGTTGGTTTGAAATCCTTCGTGATTTCACGGACTACCGGGTTATACGGGCTTAAGTTTGCTAAATCGTCTGCCCTGGCGGATGATTTTCTCACTTAATTTCGTATAATTGGTCGGTTCTGTTACACTGCCGAGGAGGCAGCGGGCCTGTGTAACGATCCCGATTTTCAAGGTGTGGAGACGCTGAGACGGGAAGCCATGAGGGAGGAGTGGGGCGCCGCCAAGGAGGTCGGCATGCTTGTGTAACGATCCCGATTTTCATGAAGGGAAATCCACAGATATGAGTTAAATGTGATAGTCCGTGAAGATCATGCCATCACATTATCAAATAACAGTTGATACCACAGTTCATACATTACGGGAATATAAGTTTACGAGGCATTACAACATTTAGTAACACACTTAAGTACACGTTATACTATCGAAAACACACATGGGACAACATCAGAGTAGACGTAGTGCATCGGCGGGTGAAAGCTCACGACGGCAGTGTCCGTAGGAAAGGGGCAGTGAGGGCGTCTGCGGTGGAGGGGCAGCAAAGGAGCCGGACGGGGAGCGGAGGAGCAGACAAAGGATCGTGGCCGCATCGTGGGGCGTGAGAATTGTGGAGACGGATGATGGTGCGCGGGCGTCAATGTGGGAGGGTGTCACACTACAAAAATTCCTATTTTAAGTTGTGAATAGAAAACATAAAATTAAATAAGTAATTTATGACTTTTCTAAATTTTTCTTATCTTTAGTTCGTGTGAGAAATTATGTAAATAAAAAATGATTTTGTAGAAGCTTTCTAATTAATTTTGTTAGTGGTGTTGCAGTCATGCTGAATTTATAATTTTATTTGAGTGAAAAAGAATTTATAAAATTCATTTAAGCCTTGACTAGGTTTTCCCTCATTTAAGTTTTGAAAATTTCATTTCAAAAATAAGTATTTAAAAATGAGTTTTTTTTTGTTTTCAAAAGTTTTCCAAAATAGAGTTTAAAGAAAAAGTATTCTAAAAATGTGATTTAAAAGCTTAAAAATAATTTAGTTTAAACTAGCTTTAAAAATAAGTTGAGAAATAGTTGTTTTCATTCAAATTTCAAAAGTTTAAGTGTTGGATTTGTTTCAAAATCTTCTAATATTTAAGTTTGAAAACTACTCAAAAGGATTAGCTTTGTGGTGGCTTTGAAATAAAAAAAAGGTTTTCCATTTGGAAAAGGAAAAGTCCACGTTGTCGCCCCAAACTTTTTTGCGAAAGTCTGTTTTTTCTCCCTGAGCTTTTGAAACCATTCGTTATACCTCCTTGACCGGTTATAAGAGGTTTTCAACGGCGGTTTTGTTTTTTTTGTTTTTATTTATTTCGGCTAAATTTTTGAAAAATCATAGTAATTCATAAAAAATCATAAAATATAAAAAATCTAATTTTGTTGGACTCCACATGAGTAGATCTACACAGTGAACATATAATATGGTATGCTTAGTATAATTTTTTTAGTAACATTAGATCTATACTTTTCTGTAATTAATTCATAGCTGCAGTTCTATGGTCTAATTGTGGTGAAATTTTTATGATGTGCTAATTATTGTATGCTTGAACTATAGTAAAAAAATTCAAACTCATTGGATCATGTATAACTTAGTATAGTAAATCTGTAACTAAGTTATACATGATCGTATGAAATTTTTACTACAGTTCAAGTATACAATAATTAGCCCACTATAAAAATTTCACCACAATTGGACCATAGAAACTGCAGTTATGAATTAATTTTTATAGAAAATCATAGATCTAAAGCTATAACAAAAAATTTATATTAAAGCATATCATATTATATGTTCGCTGTCTAGTTCTACTCATGTGGAGTCCAACAAAATTAGATTTTCTATTTTATGATTTTTCTGTGATTTACTATAATTTTTTAAAGATTCAACCGAAATAAATAAAAGAGAAAAGACAAAACCGCCTTTGAAAACGACTTATAAATGGTCAGGGAGGTAAAACGATGGTTTTAAAAGTTTAGGGAGGTGGTTTATCTGATTTTAGAGTTCAGGGAGGAAAAACGTACTTTCGTAAAAATTGAGGAAGGTAATCTAAACTTTTTTTTATTTTATAGAAAACTCCCCCTCTCTCACTTCTAGCCCGAGCGGCCCAGCCCCTTTCTCTCCCACTCGGTCCGTCTCCTCTTTTTCCCCTTTCCGAAGCCCACTCCCCTCACTGCGCACCAGCACAAGGCGGCGAACCCACCCAGCTCGGCCCGGCCTCCCCTATCCGCAGGTCCAGCAGACCACGCGGAAGCCCGCGCGCCTCTTCCCTCTCTGCTCTGTCTCTGACGAACCGGCCCGCCGCGCCGTCCCTGGCCGCCTTCATCAAGTTCCTCACCAGCCCCTGCTCTCCCTCTCGCTTGTAATTCAGGAACTAGCTGCATCGTCTTCTCCACCTACCTTGACGCCGCCGCCGCCGCCGCCGCGCCGCCGCTCCATTCGGTAAGACATGGAGGAGTACCTGGAGAGCATGAAGTCCCTCCGCTCCTACATGAACGGTGCGTGCATCTCGCGATCGCAACCCATATTCCCAATTCCCTCCCTCACCTATGGCCTGATATCGTTCCGCCACCATTGGGGTGGTTGCGTGATGTGATGCAGATCTCGAGGACGACGCCGCGAAGCGGTCTGTGGAGGAGCAGCAGCAGCGTACAGCCATCGACGCCCACGACGCCGACATCGCGCTAGGTACGGACAAGTGTTGGTTTCCTGGGCTCGCAACGTACGCTAACTTTGTCTCGAGTGTTGGCTTTGCCTGGTGTTTTTTTGTTTCAAGTGAGGGCGCAAGCAAAGCAGGCGAGCGAGGAGGCCGAGCAGCTGGGCACAGCGAGGGCAAAGGTAGGCATGCAGATGGCCCAGAAGCAGGGACGGATTGCCACTCTGGAGATCGAGGGCGCCACACTGAAGCAGGTGAGGGCTGGAAATTATTGTTTCTAGTATTCGCCAAGTTCCATTTCCTAGAACATTGCTTAGTGTATTTAGTAAAACTGATGAATGGTGGAAATGTTATGTAAGCTTATTTACTATTTAGTGGGAAATTGTGAGGATTTGGTGGAGGAAAGGAAATGTAGCAGTTGATTCTTAGGCCAAAAAAGTTGAAAACCAGGCACTTGAACAATTAAATGTTGCTGAGACCTGTAGCGATAACTGATTATTTATCCTGGTTAATTTTTCTGAGGGGATTTCATTCTGAGTTAAGGTCTTGTTTGGAACGTAGGAATGGAAAACACAGGAATTGAAGTAAACCTAGGAATAGGAAAGGAATGAAGGTGGGAAAAAGAGAAGTGGAAAAAGGGAGGGAAGTTGAAGGACAAAGTGTTTGAAATGCAGGAATCAAAATACAGGGAGTGGAGTATTATGTTGAAAGAAAGCTGCAAATATATATTACTAAATCAGTCTCAAGAACGTGGAGTACTAACATAAAAGGCCTATTTTCTTTTACCCATTTTCTTTAAATATTTTTTCTACCAATGGTGCTTATCTAATCAGTACACAGTAAAAGGCATATGCTCTTTCCCCACTGCGATATAGAGCATTCCTCTCCGTTCTTTGTTCTGATTCTCTCCATTTTACTGCATCAATGAAGCACTTAGTGACCTCCATCCTCATTGATTTGATCTGGTGATGAGAAGAAGTAAAGCAATCAGTGGCTGCCTGTGCTGGGGACAGGGGTAGCAGTCCAGCATGGACGCTAGGTCTTAGCGGTTACTAGGACGGTGGTAGGGATGAGATCACCATGGGGCATCAATGAAGGCGATAGATCAACTATCGGTGCGCCTCCTCGTTCTCTCTCTTCTATATACATTCTGTTCAGGCATCTGCAAAAGAAAAGAAATCTCTCTCTTCTACACTTCTACATACATTCTGTTCAGGTATCTGCAAAGGAAAAACCCAGAGATTGGAGTGGATGTTTGGTTTTCTGTGAAATGAGCATCTAGCTACAGTATTCCAAGGAAAGTAATTGGCTCTTCCTGTGTTCCATACGCTCACTTAGAGGTCCTTTCCTCTGTTTTGTGGCTCCTACAAATTTCCTTTGCAATTCGTCAAATCCAAACCGGATATGATTATCATCCTTTTCATGTTCTGTTGACTTTATAGTTGGAGTAAAGGCGGCCCTTGAACTTGGCAGCGCGTGTCATCTAGGTCCCTGGACACCTAAAATGCACATCTAACCTCTAGAAACTTGGCCCATGCTGCATCATAGGTCTAAATGGGCCTTGGCTAGACCCAATTGCTGACTTGGCAGCCCATGCCGGCACCCGCCTTGTCGATGCGCTCCGCGGTTGCCCCGCGGCGTACTCCCCTTCCGCCGCCATGCCAAATCGCGCCTCGTTTGTGCGAACGATGCCGCTTGCCAACGTCGTGCCCTGCCTTGTCGTGTCGCGTCGAACGTGCCGCCTAGGCTGGCCCCGCCCCAGCCCGTCGCTGCGCCAAGAGGCCGCTGTCCAGGTCCCGTCGTACCTGCCTGAGCCGAGCGCTACCTCATCGGCCGAGTCGGCGTGCTGGACCACCGCTCCTACTGCTGCATTGTGTGCTATGGCTACCGTGACATGCACCAGGAAGTGGACTCCTTTGTGATGGAGCTCGTCGAGAGCCTCGCCATGTTCATCAAGCTGGACGTGCTGTTCCGCTGCTGCGAACGCTGGCGGCGGCGAGCAGCGGGACAGCAGCTACTACGAGCTCGAGAACACGCTGACGGTCATCGAGAGCAACACGCTGTGGTGCCACCTGGGCTTGGGCTAGGACGACTCCCGCTCCCACGATGGCGCGTCGTCTGGCTCTGATCACGTGGACGGCATAGAGCTCGCTGCGGCGGCTCTGGCGCCGACTGTCGTCAAGAAGCAGGTGAGGCTCACGGTGGCGGCGCCCAGGAGCCCCGGCGTGGGCAAGAGCATGCTGGAGGAGCTGCATGAGCTGTGTGAGGCACGTGAGGCTGGCGCGACATTCATCCAGGGGCACTCGCACGTGCAGAAAACTCTGACTACAATAAATACTAAAATCTAAAACAACAACAATAGAGCCTTTGAGTCCTAAGCAAGTTAGGGTAGGCTAGAGTTAAAATCCACCAAAACCCCCAAGTCACGGTTCAGGTACTTCAATAGCTGCTTTCCAAGTACTCCTATTCAAACATAGATCCCTGGGTATATCCTAAATTTTCAAATATCTTTTTATTGCCTTCCTCCATGTCAATTTCGGTCTTTCTCTACCTCTCCTCATATTATTAGCTTGGCTTAGGACTCCACAATGCACTGGTGCCTCTGGAGGTCTCCTTTGGACATGGCCAAACCACCTCAACCGATGTTGGACAGGCTTTTCTTCAATTGGTGCTACCTCTAGGCGATCATGTATATCATCGTTCCGAACTCGGTCCATTCTTGTGTGACCGCAAATCCATCGCAACATACGCATTTCTGCAACACTCAGTTGTTGAACATGTCGAATCTTTGTAGGCCAACATTCTATTCCATACAACATAGCCGGTCTAATCGCCGTTATATAGAACTTGCGTTTTAGCTTTTGTGGTACCCTCTTGTCATAGAGAATGCCAAAAGCTTGTCGCCACTTGATTCACCATGCTTTGATTCTATGGCTAACGTCCATATCAATATCTCCATCCCTCTGTAGCAACGATCCCAGATACCGAAAGGTATCCTTCTTAGGCACTACTTGACCTTCCAAACTCACATCTCCCTCCTCCTGTACAACTCCGCCAAAGTCGTATCTCATGTATTCGGTTTTAGTTCGCTCAATCTAAAACCTTTAGACTCAAGGGTCATCGTTATAACTCTAGTTTCCTATTTACTCTACTTTGGCTTTCGTCCACTAACACTACATCATCATGAACAACATACACCAAGGGATATCCCCTTGTATGTTTCTGGTAACCTCATCCATTACCAAGGCAAAGAGATACGGGCTTAAGGCTGACCCTTGATGAAGTCCAATTTTAATCGGGAAGTAATCTGTGTTACCATCGTTTGTTCGAACACTAGCCACAACATTGTTGTACATGTCCTTGATGAGGGTCACGTACTTTGATGGGGCTTTATGTTTGTCCAAAGACCATGACGTAACATTTCTTGGTATCTTGTCATAAGCCTTCTCCAAGTGAATGAAAACCAAGTGGAGGTCCTTCTTCTGCTCTCTAAACCGCTCCATAACCTGTCTTATTAAGAAGATTGCTTCTGTGGTTGATCTCCGGGCATGAAACCAAATTGGTTTGTTGATATCTGCGTCGTTCCTCGCAGGCGCTGCTCGATGACTCTCTCCCATAACTTCATAGTGTGACTCATCAACTTAATTTCCCGATAATTAGTACAACTTTGGATATCTCCCTTGTTCTTGTAGATTGGTACCAATATGCTTCTTCTCCACTCCTCAGGCATCTTGTTTGATCGAAAGATATTGCTGAACATCTTGGTTAGCCATACTATAGCTATATCCCCGAGACATCTCCACACCTTGATTGGGATGTCATCAGGGCCCATCGCTTTGCCCCCTTTCATCCTTTTCAAGGCTTCTCTGACCTCCGATTTTTGAATCCTCCGCACAAAGTGCATGTTAGTGTCATCAAACGAGTCGTCCAGCTGAACGGTGGTGTTCTCGTTCTCACCATTGAACAATTTATCAAAATACTCTTGCCATCTATGTCTGATCTCATTCTCCTTCACCAAGAGCTGCTCCCTCTCATCCTTTATGCAGTTGACTTGGTTGAAGTCCCTTGTCTTCCTATCGCGAGCCCTAGCCATCCTATAAATGTCCTTCTCTTCTTCCTTCAAATACTAAAATCTAAAATTCATGACAAAACTGTTCTTCTTTGGGGTCTTCTTGGGTGCCTTGGATTAAACATGTTGCCAGCTGTTAATCATATTTTCTAAAGAAAACTAGACGAATCTAGTAGGAAATAGGTAGCTTTGTTTATTAGGAAGAAAATAGGCACAAAAATTCACCTCGACGTGGACTTGAACATATGTGGCTGGGTGTATACTCACACCCTCAACCAACTGAACTAGACTCAGCTTCCTTGATGGTAATCAATTTTGATCAAGACTTCAAACATTTTTAAGTTTTTTTCTTTTTCTTTTTGGCAATAGACATATGTTAGTTATATTTGTAATTTCTATGACTATGCTGCTTATGGTAACATAATCTGGATTTACTTATTGGTTTTTCATGACTATAAGATGCATATCCTATAAGTGGTTTCTTATGTGAGATTTACCTTTTTCTAAAACTATTATTTGTCTTAAAGAATGAGTTCTTTTTTCATCATTGCAAAATGGAAACTCTACAGTATACACAGGCTATTGTTTGGGACATAAGTTGTTCTTTAAAGAAGCATGTTTAATGGTAATCTCCCCGAACAAATTTTCCTACAAGACCGAAGTCATATTATCTTAATCTTCCCTATATTTTCACTAGTTTGTGAATATCTGACCTTTGCTCATCTTGCCTTAATAATAGATACAAATTTGCGCAATGACTCTACCGTATAACTTATTTCATTTTAAATATCTTGAAGGAACTTTCAAAACCACATTAAATATTAAGTTGAGTATATTCAAATGTCTAACTTCATTTCCACCCTTCATGACTTGAGACCTTGGAGCTCCTCCATCAGGAAACTGCAAGTACTTTTGTGAAACTCAGTGAGAAAAGGTGCAACTATATCCCTTGAAAATAACATACCATAAGTTCTAAGTTGTAACATACAGTAACTATAAGTTTTTGCGTGGACAGATTGTTCTACAAAAAGACAACAGAAACCTTGACTGTCAAACTACAGGAGCAACAGGTTTATCTTATTGTTTGTTTTCATGATTACTTTTTATGATCAATATTATTTGTCTCTTGAGAAAGATGGCCCAACTGTAGATGCCATTGCCTAACAATCCTACATTGTTCATTTCACAGGAATGGCTTAGTATGAAGAATAAGATTACTATAAAGGAGCCACATGTAAGCCTTTTGTTCACGTAAATAAATCAGTCTGCTTTGTTTTCATGATTATTGTTTTTGTGTAGAAATCTAATTCAACTATTATTGACTAGTCACTTATTATATTGTTGAAGTTTTTGGTGCACACAAATATAAATCAGAAAGCATATGGGTAATTTTGTATCATTTGTTAAGATTAGGTAATACTGCTAACAAGCTCATGGAATCAGAGATGGGAAGGAGAGGAGGAACATGAGTGGGTGTGTGGCGGTGTAAACATTAGCACTGTAGTGACAACTGAGAACCAGCAGTAATGATGGCTTAAGGCTTCAACTATAGGTTCAGCTTGGTGCCATCCCTGTCTGCAAGAGCTCTATGCTTTTTTTCTTTCTTTTGAAAACGCAGGAGAGCTGCATATCTTTAATATTAAGAAGAGAAAAAGGGGGTAAAGAAACCCTTGAAACACACCCACGCCACACACTTTATCCAGTTATAAAATTACATTCGCACCTATGCTAGAGAGGGAAACTACCACGACCTACAGTTAGCTGACTTCATTAATGTTCGATCCTTATTTAAATATGTTATTTTTATTTGGATAATAAGATCTTGAGAATTGTAGTAAGAGTAAGAGGGCAGTCTAAAGCTCAGTGAGCATGGGAACATTGATAACTGAAGATCATGATGGTATTAAAACTATTTGTAGACTTTGTTTTTACTCGTGTGAACTCCACGTTCAAATTGAACTTACTTTATCAGTTTAATGAGATCTTGAATGTGGGGTGTCAATTTTGGATTTGGAACTGCATTTTAATCTTGATAAAACTTCCATCAAGAAGCGCATTAAATCTCATCATTTGTTTGTTCAGGAACAGTGTTATACAAACAAGTGAACTTAGCATTATAAAAAGTGTCGTAAATTAGTCATTTTCCTGCAGTGCTCAACTTTTTTCACATATCTCACTTCTAGACATATAGAGTCACAACATGTAACAGAATTACCATACCATGCACAGTCAGATGCCAACATAAATTCTACATATTTGGATCCTAGACTGACACTTTTTCCCAGTCAATCCTTGATGATGATTGATGCCTTGCATAGATTGATTCCTAGCCTTAATTCTAACAAAACTGTACAAAAATTATCTGATCTTTGTGAAACCACAGAAATGGCCAATTTAGGTTCACGTCAAAGAATGGCAGGAAAACATATCAAGTACCAGTGTGTTTTGTCCACAAAGTTCAGCCATTCTGTTATGTCTTAAGTTCCTGGTGGTGCGTTCACACTTGCACTGAGAGTTCCAGAATTTCAGTTATGGAGCAGTTCCTAATTCAATGGTACCCTAGGGTCAACTGCCGCAAGTGGAAGTATTTTCTAGTGCATCTGTTTGTGCATTTTTACCCAGCTCTTGCATAGTTGCCTGAAACAGAATAATTTCAACACATAACATGGATATCTGTCAAGTCATTTCCATTTTCTAATGGCTTGTAACATGAAGCAGCTACACAATGTTTAATAAGTGTTGGAACTTACGCATGCAGGTTGCCAAATCTCAGAGCAAGCAAAACTTCATTGAAGGTACTGGTTTCTCCGAAAACAGAGGAAGTAGTTAGTGTCGTTCCATGCCATTTTATGCCTGTGTTGTATTCATGTTGACATGCTTCCACATATGGGGAGATTATTGCACAGGGTACATTTCCAGTGTGACATATTTTATTATTGTTTACATTGTGTGGCTGTTAAACTAGTAATTTTTCTTTCCCCCCCTCCTACCAAGGACTATTGAAATTTACATAATCTTGCCTTTCCACATGTATGGATACAACATTAGGCAAAACACAGATGAGTAGCTAGTCAAATCATCAAACTGAAAATTTTGTAACTTCGACTGAACTTCGATGTGGTGTTACTTGCAGGGGAGAAACATGTCATGTTTAACTCAGTAGGGAGCCTGGATAAGTTTGTTAGTATTCACACCCCTCCCTTCCTCCATTCCCACAACTATGCAAATTGTGATGTGCTTTCAGTTTTCAATCAAACAGGAAAGTGATCCTCAGAACAAGCACAGGAAACTCTACACTCAACTGGTGTCAGCTCAGCTCAAGATACAAGACATCAAATCACAGAGATCAGCGCTTCTTTTAGAAATCAGCAAAGTATATCAATTAGGACAAGATTCTTTATTATTGTATATGTACCTAGTGAAACTAACAGACATGAATATACTTTGCAGATCAAGCAGATTCTAGAGCAAGAGAAAAACATAATTGCTGGCTTTCCTGTAATTTCATTGCTCATGTTTAAACATTGATCATGTTAAATTCTTCCCACATGCATTGTCATCTGGTGCTTGCAGGCTGCACTACAGCAGATGGATATGAAGTCCTTGGAGGAGGAATACAAAGCACTGCAAGGTGATAAATCTGGGGAAGTTGAGTACTTCCAGACTCTTGATGAAACAATTAATGGGATGAAGGTACTTTGGTGCTGTTCAGTTTGGATGCCGCATCATGACTAAAACAATTAGGAATTATTCAGTTTGCTTTATTCATGGCCATGCTTCATGGAACTCTTCTTAGCAATTTTAACATGTGAATTTCATTTCCTGCATGCAGGGGATTTCGGATCCTGTCAAATGCCGTTGCGGACTGGAGTACAATGTAAAACTTGTTGGCGAAGCCATGGATATAAGCTAAACTCGTGTAGAACGACCATAGTATACACGCATAGATGCATATCTCCACCAAATTTCGTGCATATTGGATCTGTTCATTGTGAAAGATGGATTATTCTTTGGAGGTTACAGAATCTTCTCGCACGTAATACGGCTGGCTGCTTTGGGCAGAGCTTGACAGCGTCATCATGAAGAATATAGAATTCTGATTCTGATGTTAGAACTATCTGGAGCTTGAATGAACTATACGGGCCATAGTTTTGTTCAATAATTGTTTTTCCTTTCCCTCAACCGCATGTCCAGAATGCATACTTTATTTCGCTACCCTCCGATTTTATTTGGATGACAAGCAAGGATTTTGGTTAAGGATACGAAAGGGTACTACTTAATAATCTGTTGGCACATCAAGAAATGCTGCAAATATTCCACCTATAGTTGAGAGAAAATTTTCTATTTGACACTAGAAAAAATCTCTTATTTGACACCCAAACTTAAATCACTGGAAAAAAAAGTTGACTGATGCTGCTTCTTTGGAAAAAAAAAGTTGAAAGTTGAAACCGGTAAAAAGGTCTCTGTTGTCTTGAGAAAAAAAAAGAGAAAAGAATGAGCATGCTAATTGTTGATTTTCAGTAGTGTTATCGGAAATGTTGTACGCATGCCGTCTGTCCCGTCCGGACGCTAGGGCTAGCGTCCTAGCCCAATAAACCTTCCGGATCCGTCCCTTTCGTTGACCCTACTGCTCGCCTCTGCTCCGTCGCTCGCCCCGCTCCTTCTGCTCCTGTTCTGCGTGCTGCTCCTGCTCCGCCGCCCAACTTGCTGCTCCTGTTCCTATTCCGCGCGCTCACCCCGCTGGTCCTCTGACACTACTCTTGCTCCGCCGCCCGCCCCCGCCCGACGACACTGACAGGTGCCGCCAGCGCAAGGAGAAGCACTGTGCCCTCGCACGGAAGCCCTCTGACCTTGCCTCCTGCTACGGTTGTGGTACGTCGACGCCCCGATGAAGACGGCGGAGGAGGCCGCACCGGGATACGATGCATGTTGCAAATATACAATTCAAAATGTTTCAAAAGTTTGAGAGGTATGTTGCAAGCGTTGTATATCGATGTTGCAAAAGTAGATCGAGAATGCTACACATGTTGCAATGGCTATACACATATGTTTCAAGTGTATATCCCAAATGTTTCAAATACTCCAGACGAATGTTGCAAGCAGTTTTATCTAGATGTTGCAAAAGTGGATATGGAGGTTGCATATGTTTACAATGATTTTCAAATGTTTTTTAGGCGTTTTTGCAAGTGTTTCAGACGCTTGTTTCAAGTGTTTCATGTGTCTTTTTTTATGTTGCATCTGGATGTTTTAAAAGTAGATCGGGTGTTGCATATGAGATACGCGTGGCAAGCGGCTGCCGGTGTGGACGATGTTCAATGCGGCGTGGGCGATGTCCGGAGCGGTGCGGGCCCACTGATGTAGGCGCTCGCTCACTCCTAAGTGCGAGTAGCGTACGCGCTAGCAAGCCGGTATCTTTTCAGAAACTGAACATAATGATTCAACTCGATACGAGTGTTACGGAAACTCCATTCGTTTTCAGCTGGACGCTGAACGCGGAGAGACGAAAACAGATCCTAATTCCTAATAATTCATAAAACATCGCAACGAGAAATTAAACATGCGCTACACGGAGAAGTCGATCTTGACTGGGAACGACACCGACGACGACGAGTCGCCGTTCTCGACCAGCACCTTGCTTACGCCGGAGGGCACGACGGTGTACGCAGTCCTCTCCACGATGCCGAACGCCTTGCACACGTTGAGCGTGAAGGGCACGGTCGCGGTGCTTGTGGCCGGCACGAACACCCTCCGGAACGCCGCCACCTGCTTGATCGGCGCCTGGGCCACCTCCGGCGGCGGCGCCGTGTACACCAGCACGACGTGGGCGCCGCCCCTCCCGCCGCCGTTGATCACGCTAATGTTGAAGCTGACGGTCTCGGTGCAGGCGTGTCCGGCAACGTCGACGGCCTGGCAGGATGGGGTGGTAGCCACGCTGGGCTTGTAGCTGAGCCCCTTGCAGTGGCCTCCGGTGGCCGGGAGCGTGACGGAGGTGCCGTCGGTGCTCGTCTCGTAGTGGAACTTGGTGTAGCTGAGGCCGTAGCCGAAGGGGTACAGCACCTCCGGGCCATCGTAGAACTTGTACGTCCTGCCGGGGTACCCCTTCTCTGGCACTGGCCGGAACTCCATGGACGTCATGGGGATCTGCTGGATGTACTTGTTCTTGAACCATGTCAGTGGCAGCCTTCCACCTATTTTTCATCATTCAATCAGAAAAATGATAAAACAACATTATTGGACAATAAATAATTAGTGTGATAGTAATGCACAAGAAAGAAGTGGTATGGTCTTTGCACTTATTTACCTGGGTTATATCTTCCAAAGATGACATCAGCAATGGCGTTGCCGCCTTCACCGCCAGGGTACCCAGCCCAAAGGATGGCACCGATCTTGGGGTGCTTGTGCGCGAAGGAGACGTCGATGCCGCCTCCCGACAGGATGACCAGGATGATCGGGTTCGGTGAGGCCTTGGCGAAGTGTAGGATCTCCTCTGTTTGGTTCTTGGGTAGGAGAAGATCCTCCCTGTCGTTTCCCTCCCTCTCGATGTGAAGGTTTATGCCACCCAAGTAGATGGTCGTATTCGCCCTGTGCGAGATCTTCACGTGCTTGCTTATACCTTGGCGCGGCGTGACGTAGCGGCATGGCGGTCCTGCCACTGGTAGGGAATCGAGCTTTACTTCCGGTGAAGAACCCTTTCTAGTCCCGGTTTCTCACCCGGGAGCAAGCATCCAGAACTAAAAAGGTCCTTTAGTCCCGGGTCAGGAACCGGGACTAAAGGACGGGATTAAAGGAGGACCTTTAGTCCCGGTAGATAACACCAACCGGGACTAAAGGTGCCTCCTGACATGCCACGATGGCCGACACCTTTAGTCCCGGTTGGTAATACGAACTGGGACTAAAGATTTTTTTCTTTTTTCTTTTCTTTTCATTTTTTTGTTTTCTTTTCAAAATAGGTTTTCGAAGTCGTATTGTACGCTGCTAATTATACATTTATACGCGCATATAGTATGTTTCGGTTCAAGCACAATGAACGTATTAAATCACACAATTCAAGCATAGAAATATATATATATATATATATATATATATATATATATATATGAATGCATGCATCATATATATATTAAATGCATGCATGCATATGTGTATTTTACATTATATTATTTCATGTGCATATATTACAAAAGATTGCATTACAGTTGTTGTGACATAACAAGTTTCCTCTCATCCTCTAGCTTGGCTTCAATGGCAGTGTTGGGTCGAAGTAGAACTCGCCCTTGGAATCGATGACCTGCTCATTAAAAAATCCGGCTATAGACTTTTGAATTGCTTTGATTTGGTCTTGCCGTATGATCTTTTCCTCCAACCATCGAGTCTACAGGTTTGAATTAAAGGAAAATAAATTAATATATGTACATATATATATATATATATATAAAGACATAGTAACACAATCAATAATAATAATTAAATGAATATATAGTGTATTTTTAACGTACTTTGAGTCTCTCTCTGTAGGAGTTCTTTGGGAGAGCACATTGATAAACTTGCAAACATAGTAACCACAGTAGTTGTTCCCCTGTTCCTGCCTTAGACACCACTTTACGAGAAAAAGATTTGTCATCCAATCTGGTGATCCGGTGAAAGCTATATGTTTAATTAATAAAGATGATGCGATTCAGGGGACTTACTTTCAAAGGGATTACATTCAGTGGCGCTTTGCATTTTTCCATGTGTTGCTTCTCAATAAAGGTTTTCCAAACACTGCCCAATAAAAAATTTGCCACATCATCAGATATAGTTAATCATCATGTTTGTGTGTATATATAGTTGCTAGAGATCCCGAAATTACCTCTGGATAATATCTATCATATCTTGGTAGTCTTGTTGTGGTTTTCTCATCGAGTCATAGATTATCAAGTGACTTTTCACCAGATCGATGTCCATCAATATCCAAATGATGATTTGCATGTGTTTATAGGATATAACGCATAACACTCATTAATTAACTAGAATCAACATATGAGCCATTAAGGATATGATTGACATGATTAACACTCACTTGAAGTTATAGGGAAAGAGTATATCCTTCTTGTGGCGTTGGTTCACTAAGAAGTTCATGAGGTTACTCTCTGACTCAGACTTCCAATTAGTCTTTGGAGTAATTGGGTCTTTGAATACTATATGGGGATCAACAAAACCAATTTCATTGCAGCCTTCCTTTCTGAGCTCTGTCATTGTAAATCTGCATATATATAGTACTTGTTAGGATAATTTATATGCATATACACACATATGATGAGTTTAATAATAGATCGAAAGAATTATTACTTACAGGCAATAGCAGCTAATGATAACTTTGTCCAGAGAGGTCAGGTGGCATAGTTGATGAAATTCTGCAAAGTCAACATACATAACATCATCGCCACGGAACCAATGTTCGTCTCTAATTCTGACACCAACGCAGAAGTCTCCACTGGTAGATGCCTGCATGTACCACTTGTTTAGCAGGTACATTTGCGTCCCCAGATCAGATAAGACTTGAGGGTTGTATAGACTCTGGCCTAGTACAAATTTTTTCTTCCAAATATCAACCTCCGCCGCACTCTCAATGTTTCCATCACCAAACATCTGGTAAAGGTCGAGACCAGTCTCATCAAGAAATTCACCAAGGTGATCCAAATCGACATCCGGAGGTATGTTTGCCTGATGCATTAATCCTAAATTCGAACCATATTCATTACCAACAACTAGCGGGGGGATTGATTGGTACGCTTGTTGTCCGAGTTGGGCAATGCCTTTCCCTACCCGCTTCTTTTTTCTCGTGCGCCTCAATTGACTTGGTGAGAGTGCGGTCATAGTCCGATAACGTTGATTTGGACGACTTACGAGATTCCATTGTTGTTCTTTGGTAAGAAGTCACCTTTTTTCTTAGAATATCTGGAGCTACTAAGAAGTACGGTTTCTTGGGTTTCTCCTTACTTCTTGATTCATTTTAAGTTTGTCATAGAATCTAGACATGTCTTTTTATATGCATCGGTTCCTTCTTCCTTCTCTTGAGATATTATTTTGGGAATAGCCCTTGGTTTCACGGTGGCTTTCTTTTTGCAAAGCGGACCTGGTTCTTCGTTTGAGGGCTGGCCTCTTGCTAGGCTTCTTGGTAGGCGGGGCGGGAGGCGTTGGAGACCTCCTTGGAGGTGTTGGCGATGGCGTTGGAGACCTCCTTGGAGGTGGCGGCACATGGCGTTGGAGACCTCCTTGGAGATGGTGTAGATGCAGCCTCGTCTTCCAACATAATGTCATCGTCTGAGCACTATGATGATCTGGCGATTGAACAATTGGATTTAGGTTGGGGAGGATCACGCTAAAAAAAGGAATGACATATTATTATGAGCAGATTGTTAATTATTTAAGCCAATACAAATTAATGATGTAGTGTTTTCATCCATGCGTACCTATGGTGAGGTAGTTCGGGGAGGAGGTGGAGCCGACATCCCTGGAATGATGATGTAGCGCTTGCGCCATAGAATGAATGTCTTCTCCGCTTCTCCTAGAGTCTTCTCGCCATCACCTCCGAGGAATGTCAAGAGGCAAATCACTAAAACTTTTTTTCAGCTTTATCTACCGAGATGGTAGCATATCCTTCTTGGATTATATTCCCATGAATCCTTGGTGTCTTGGTTGGTCGATAGGATTAACAAGACCGATAGCCACCTTGATTGTAGAATTCTCTTTGAATGTGTAGCTCACACGTTGTACAAGGTTCGAGTGGCGTCATCCACGAGGAAGCGATCTGTGTCCCCTTGATTTGGTATCTCCGTGGAAGCGCAGTTGCTTTTCAACCGAACAGATTGGCTAATGTTGATTTCGGCTCGATGCTCGCTTACTTGCACTGCTTGCTATTTGCACTTGCCTTCGATTTCCTCCTGCATTCTCGCTTCAAGTTTTTTTCCTCTCCGTGCTTCACGCACCGCTTCCTCCAATCTCTCGGAGACGCTGTGCCTCTTCTTCCTTCTTTCTCTGGCGACTTCAGAAGAAGGTGCATCTGAGGAATCCATGCTCCCACGAGACACTTCCTTTGCCTCTAGTTCGCCACCATGTTCAATAGTTCCGATGGCGTATGTCGGCTCATCCTTCTCTCTGTTGGGCTGAACGCACCACTAGCGATAGCTCTCGAGCATAAAACAATCTTCTGCTTTGCTTCTTGCGGTCTTGCGCCATAAATGCACTTCCACTCTCCTCCGGTCTAGTGTTCCCCATGACCGAAAAACCAATTCTTTGCACGTTCTCCCCACTCAAGTGATTTTGGTGCGATACCCTTGGCAAGAAGGTCCGCTTCCATTTTGTTCCACTTCTTAATGGTAGTCGGGTAGCCACCGATCCCAAGGTATGGTGGTATGTCTTTTGTTGGGCATTACGTTGGTTCTTTATCACCCGACTCACACCCTCTTCCGAAGTCTTGTCTTGTACAAACTCATCCCAATAGGGCCTCTGCTTTGAGATCGGGCCTGAGACAGTAAAATCAAAGGTGCTATGTTCTTCTTGACATACGTCGTGTATAGGTGTTTCTTCCAAGTCCTGGCGGGTGGCCATCTTCTTCATTGCCCAATCCCTAACTCGCTCCTTCAATTCATCACCATCTATTATATCATCATAACCATCTGTTTGGAGCGTGAAATGTACCAAGACATCATTCCAAATTAACGCCTTGTCACGATCGGAGACAAAACCGATATGAGGAGCATTGGTCTTCTTCTTCCATTCACGGGTACTAATCGGGAGCCGGTCCCGTACAAAGGTAACCACGATTGGTGCACAAATTTCATTTTATTCGCCCCCGGTTCTCCTGTATCCCACATTGAACTCCGAGATGATGAAGCGGCCTCTAATGGCTTTTTGGGACCTCGAACATTTTACTCTTCGTTGTAGTTGTTGATGTCGATCCAGAGGGCTACAAAACATAAACATTATTTTTAATGTCATGAGCACACATAAAGACATATGATAATATATATAGCTAATAATAAAAAATATATACTTGGCCAATCTGTTGTTGCTCATTTTGTTCAAGAGCTAAATCATCGACTCCGTCATCCGCATCCTCTTGCACGTTATTTTTAGCACCATCATCGCCGGCAACTTGAGTGCCGGTGTTGATCAAATTCATCATCAACTCCTCCTCATCCATGTTTCTCGGTCGGCCATCTAGCTTCAAAAACAAAACCAATATATAGTACATCAACGGTAGCGGTTCGCCCTGGTGTGATTGTTTAGCATTAACTATAACGATAATACGAATGTTGATCAACTAGGCCACACGAGAAAGGGCGGTGTGACAAGAGTGGTGGTGCTCCACTCCGCCGTATATATATGTCTGTACACATGGGTGAACGAGGCGGCGGTGCTCCGCCGTATACATAGAAACGCATGGATTTAACGAGGCGGCGGTGCTCGCGACGTATATATACATGCATATGAATACAAATGACGTATATATACGTGTCGGTAGCGATGGCGGTGTCTTGGACGACGACGACGTGAGGCGGGCCGGCGTGCTGACGACGACGACGACGTGAGGCGGGCCGGGGTGGTGTCGGTGCGTGATGTTGTGATCCTATGTACCATGTGAACCATGTAGTCAT